GTCGTCCATAAATTAATAGTAACAAATGAAAGTGAAGTAAAAATATATTCGACTATATATAATTCTTTTGTGTGTTAATTATAAAAATATACATANATTATAAATTCCTAAATTAACTATCAACAGCAACAATAAAACAAAGAGAACTGCTTCGTCACGATATATTAGCTGTTACATTGTTGTCACCAAAGAATTTTATTGANAAACGTAGAGTCAGTATTTCCCGATGAAGAGAACGTTGCTCGAATTATTGAGTCACATCGAATTCTTCTTCGGTAAAGTAAAAAGATTTATTCCCTTGCGCGAAATATAAAACAAAGACTTAAACAATGTAGACGAGTATCTCGCGCAGTGGGGATTCGATGTAGTTTCGAGACTGACACGTGATCAAAGTGTCAGAATTAGCATCCCGTTTCATCTTCATGACGACGTCCATGAAAGTTGCTAATACAATCGTTGCTCGCCGCCTGTTGCACCCCCAGTGGCGTGCGCGGAGGGAGAGAGAGAGGGAGGGAGCGAGTACCGCTTTAAGATCCAACAAGTGGTTCGTCTAACGGCAACAATGCTTCCTAATGTACTAGCTTTTGCCATTGTGTCGGCTCGGAAGCGTGATCGGTCCTCGACGTGCTGGTGACCTTCGACGTCAGCAACGTCAGCGCCGCGCGAGAAACTTGCGAAAGCCAAAACGAATTTGGCTCGGCTTCTGGCTACACGTATATATCCGCTAACGCTTCGAACAATCTCTTTGAACACTCCGCGTTTGATATATTGATGTGCGCGTGTGTGCGTTCGTGGTTGTGTGTTTGAGACGTTATTTAAATTTATCCACCATCTCGCTCGAGACTTCGCGAAGAACATTGCTTTTTTTTTTTTACCTCTTTGCGTCACGCATATATTAAATTGAACGTTGTTTTTATTTATACTCAATTTGAGTTAATTGTGTCCGTTGGATATGAATTTAACGAGAAAAGAGATAATATAATTAATTTTCTAATAGAATATTTGAAAGTACTAAAACAATGTGCTAATGCTTGAGAGAGTGGTTTTTCATGAAATTTGATATGATCTTGATGACAAAAAAACGACGTTATTCGAAGCTATCGGAAATTCTTTGCGAGAAGATCAGATCTGAAATAAGTTCATGTTTTACGGAATTAGAATTGACATTGATCGAGTATTCTCTCGACCAGAGAACAAGACGATGTCGACTATCTTAGAGTTTTTATAGAATTCTCAGATTCTCTCAACTCACGTCACGTGTAAAACTCGTCACTCCGTAAAACTTCGAAAGTTGAATTCACCAGAGTAAATCTTTCACATTTGCAATTTTATTACAAAATGAATTGACGAGTTAGATTAGTGTGTAAAAAATTTGTAGATATATATATGTACATATACATGTATAAATATATATGCATATAAAAGTTAATATTTTGTGTTTTTAATGTTAAGTATAACTAAACTACTAAATTAAACTTTTTATTTATAAAACATTAATTATTAAATTTATAATTAAGATTTATTATATAAAAATTAATTGTTTTGGGAATGATACATATTCTTGGATAGTTCATATTAATAAAAATTATTGTGCAACCTCAATGTTGAATTAAGATTGAATTTATAAGTAGAATTAAAATATTTAAGTAAAAACATTTGATAAATATTATGTTTTCTTATTAAAAAAAAGTGAAAAGAAAAAGGACGTGTAAAAAAATTGAGTTATAAGTTAAGTTATAGTCACTTGTTATGGTTAATTAGTTACATATTAATTAACTATTTAAATGTTTAATAAGTTTAGACATAAATATCTTCTCTTTCTCATATTGCACAGTACATTCATCAGCTTTACATCAATCCGGATTATCTCTTACTATGCGCTTCGTGTAAGCGCGATAATTAATTTGTGGATCGCACGGCTAATCATCCACTNATTAGCGACGTTTGTATAATTATTATGGTTGTTACGGTTTTTGATTATTGTTNGTTTCAATTTCTGCGTTGTAACCACATATGATCAGTGATACATCACACAATATACTATTTCATACAGCATTAGATTTCGTGATTATTTTCGTGATGGCTAACTTCCAATGTGTAATTATATGTGTATGATAACATATGTTATATACATATATATAAAAGTTATATATATGTTAACATTATTATTATGAATATGATAACATATTATTATAATGTAACGCACAGATACACTAACAGATTTAAAGTTTACAATCGATTGGTTCNGATNAACAACTACAATATAGAATAAAAGGTTTTAGAATAAAAGATTGAAAATTATTTAAAAAGTAAGTTTTCTGAAATAAAATTGCTTCAAANACTTTTCAAGTNATCGGCGTTAAAATCGACTGCTATTTAATCGCGAGAAAGTTATGAATCAGTTCGATGTGTGCGTCGCGAAAGATTGCCCCCTAAGTTCACCCATCTCTTTACCAAATTTATGCTGATGATGCACCGTGCCTTAAAATAGAAGTGCAATGACTTCGCAAGATCTTGACATTGTCTTGGCACACCCACGGTATATACCCTACAATATATTACACGCATTGTACCGTCAAGAAAAATATCGCGATTTCGTTTTTCGTTGCACAAATTAATAAACGTATGAAAACTCATCGCGATTTAATTATTTATGGAATGTGTGCAAATGTTAATTAGCGAGATTTAACAAATTAATTANTTTATAAATACAATTTATGATTTACGCAAAATCGACCTACTGTTGTTATTAATGAGATAATTTACCCGATAACATTTATGGTGAAATATGTTAAAAATATTATTGCGCGCGCAATAATGCTATTTGCAATTCTGACTTCTTCTCCAATTT